TCCCTGTGTCCATGTGTTCTCATTTTTCATCACCTGCCTATGAGTGAGAATATGCGGTGTTTCATTTTCTGTTCTTGTGTCAGTTTGCTGAGAATGATGTTCTCCAGATTCATCCATGTCCCTACAAATGACACAAACTCATCATTTCTGATTGCTGCATAATATTCCATGGTGTATATGTGCCATATTTTTCCAATCCAGTCTATTATCAATGGGCATTTGGGTTGATTCCAGGTCTTTGCTATTGTAAACAGTGCTGCAATGAACATTTGTGTATATGTGTCTTTATTTATTTATTTTTAATTTTTTATTGGATTTTAGGTTTTGGGGTACATGAGCAGAGCATGCAAGACAGTTGCGTAGGTACACACATGGCAGTGTGCTTTGCTTTTCTTCTCCCCTTCACCCACATTTGGCATTTCTCCCCAGGCTATCCCTCCCCACCTCCCCCTCCCACTGGCCCTCCGCTTTTCCCCCCAATAGACCCCAGTGTTTAGTACTCCCCTTTCTGTGTCCATGTGTTCTCATTTTTCATCACCCACCTATGAGTGAGAATATGCGGTGTTTCATTTTCTGTTCTTGTGTCAGTTTGCTGAGGATGACGTTCTCCAGATTCATCCATGTCCCTACAAACGACACAAACTCATCATTTCTGATTGCTGCATAATATTCCATGGTGTATATGTGCCACATTTTTCCAATCCAGTCTATTATCAATGGGCATTTGGGTTGATTCCAGGTCTTTGCTATTGTAAACAGTGCTGCAATGAACATTCGTGTACATGTGTCCTTATAGTAGAACGATTTATAGTCTTTTGGATATATACCCAGTAATGGGATTGCTGGGTCAAATGGAATTTCTATTTCTAAGGTCTTGAGGAATCGCCACACTGTCTTCCACAATGGTTGAACTAATTTACACTCCCACCAACAGTGTAAAAGTGTTCCTTTTTCTCCACATCCTCTCCAGCATCTGTTGTCTCCAGATTTTTTAATGATCGCCATTCTAACTGGCCTGAGATGGTATCTCAATGTGGTTTTGACTTGCATCTCTCTGATGACCAGTGACGATGAGCATTTATTCATATGGTTGTTGGCCTCATATATGTCTTCTTTCGTAAAGTGTCTGTTCATATCCTTTGCCCAGTTTTGAATGGGCTTGTTTGTTTTTTTCCTGTAAATCTGTTTGAGTTATTTGAAAATTCTGGATATCAGCCCTTTGTCAGATGGGTAAACTGCAAAGATTTTTTCCCATTCTGTTGGTTGCCGATCCACTCTAGTGACTGTTTCTTTTGCCGTGCAGAAGCTGTGGAGTTTGATTAGGTCCCATTTGTCTATTTTGGCTTTTGTTGCCAATGCTTTTGGTGTTTTGTTCATGAAGTCCTTGCCTACTCCTATGTCCTGGATAGTTTTGCCGAGATTTCCTTCTAGGGTTTTTATCATGCCAGGTCTTATTTTTAAGTCTTTAATCCATCTGGAGTTAATTTTAGTGTAAGGTGTCAGGAAGGGGTCCAGTTTCTGCTTTCTGCACATGGCTAGCCAGTTTTCCCAACACCATTTGTTAAACAGGGAATCCTTTCCCCCTTGCTTGTTTTTGTCAGGTTTATCAAAGATTGTATAGTTGTAGATATGTTGTGTTGCCTCCGGTGCCTCTGTTTTGTTCCATTGGTCTATATCTCTGTTTTGGTACCAGTACCATGCTGTTTTGATTACTGTAGCCTTGTAGTATAGTTTGAAATCCGGTAGTGTGATGCCCCGCGCTGTGTTCTTTTTGTGAATTGACTTGGCTATGCGGGCTCTCTTTTGGTTCCATATGAAATTCATGGTGGTTTTCTCCAGTTCTGTGAAGAAAGTCAATGGTAGCTTGATGGGGATAGCGTTGATTCTGTAAATTACTTTGGGCAGTATAGCAATTTTCACGATATTAATTCTTCCTAACCATGAACATGGAATGTTTCTCCATCTGTTTGTGTCCTCTCTGATTTCGTTGAGCAGTGGTTTGTAGTTCTCCTTGAAGAGGTCCCTTACATTCCTTGTGAGTTGTATTCCAAGGTATTTTATTCTTTCTGTAGCAATTGTGAATGGCAGTTCGTTCTTGATTTGGCTTTCTTTTAGTCTGTTATTGGTGTAGACGAATGCTTGTGAATTTTGCACATTGATTTTATATCCTGAGACTTTTCTGAAGTTGCTTATCAGTTTCAGGAGTTTTTGGGCTGAGGCGATGGGGTCTTCTAGGTATACTATCATGTCGTCTGCAAATAGAGACAATTTGGCTTCCACCTTTCCTATTTGAATACCCTTTATTTCTTTTTCTTGCCTGATTGCTCTGGCTAGAACTTCCAATACTATATTGAATAGGAGTTGTGAAAGAGGGCATCCTTGTCTAGTGCCGGATTTCAAAGGGAATGCTTCCAGTTTTTGCCCATTCAGTATGATATTGGCTGTTGGTTTGTCATAAACAGCTTTTATTACTTTGAGATACATTCCATCGATACCGAGTTTATTGAGGGTTTTTAGCATAAAGGGCTGTTGAATTTTGTCAAATGCCTTCTCTGCGTCGATTGAGATAATCATGTGGTTTTTGTTTTTGGTTCTGTTTATGTGGTGAATTACATTGATAGACTTGCGTATGTTGAACCAGCCTTGCATCTCTGGGATGAATCCTACTTTCCTATCATCAAAATTGAAAGAGCTAGAGGAGCAAGATAAAAAAAACTCAAAACCCAGCAGAAGACAAGAAATAACTAAGATCAGAGCTGAACTGAAGGAGATGGAGACACGAAAAACCCTTCAAAAAATCAATAAATCCAAGAGCTGGTTTTCTGAAAAGATCAACAAAATAGACAGACCACTAGCCAGATTGATTAAAAATAAAAGAGAGAACAACCAAATAGATGCAATAAAAAATGATAAAGGGGAAATCACCACAGATTCCACAGAAATTCAAACCATCATCAGAGAATATTACAAACAACTCTATGCACATAAACTAGTAAACCTGGAAGAAATGGATAAATTCCTGGACTCCTGTGTCCTCCCAAGCCTAAACCAGGAGGAAGCTGAAACTATGAATAGACCAATAACAAGGTCAGAAGTCGAGGCAGCAATTAAGAGCCTACCACACAAAAAAAGCCCAGGTCTAGACGGGTTCACAGCCAAATCCTACCAGATGCACAAAGAGGAGCTGGTACCATTCCTTCTAAAACTATTCCAAACAATCCAAAAAGAGGGAATACTTCCCAAATCATTTTATGAGACCAACATCATTCTGATACCAAAACCCGGCAGACACCCAACAAGAAAAGAAAACTTCCGGCCAATATCCATGATGAACATAGATGCAAAAATCTTCAATAAAATATTGGCAAGCCGATTGCAACAGCAAATCAAAAAGCCTTAGCAAGTTTTATAATGTTGTTATTGTTAAAAGCCAGACATCTTGTATAGAGCAATAGCTACTGAGGTAAATAGGATTTTACCATGAATATTTATATTAATCTGGCCTGGAGTAAGGTTGTGTTTGATGTTTGTTGTCTCTATGGGTACCAGAAGCATTAATTTCTCTAGTGATTTTGTTGTCTTCTCTCTTGGCTTTGGCCCTTCCCTTTGTGCTGTACCTCAGAGACAGTCTGTCTCTTGCAGTTCTTCCAGCTGTAATCCACTGTCATTTTAACTGGAGGTTTATTAGCTTGCTGTAGGGTGTAGGGGGATAAGGGCATTCTACAATCTTCAGATTAAGTTTCCGTCTTTGGAGTGCACAGTGAGCCTGTGTCTTGGAAGTGTGGCTTTCACAATTGTGTTGTTTTTCTTCCAAGGTGTGGTGGATTGAACTATAACCCCAAAGATACGTTGACATCCTAACCCCTGGTACCTGTGAATGTGACCTTATTTAGAAAGTGTATTTGCAGATGTAATCAAGTTAAAATGAGGTCATCCTGGATTAGGGTGGACTCTAAATCCAATGACTGCTATCTTTATAAAGAGAGAAAGATTTGAAGACAGAGATTAGACGTTATGACGAAGGCCATGTAAATACGAAAGCAGAGACTGGAGTAACACTGCCACAAGCAAAGTAATGCTAAGGATTGCCAGCAACCACAAGAAACCAGAAAAGGCAAGGAAAAACTCCTAAAGCATTTGGAGGGAGCATGGCCTTTACCAACCCTCCAAGACTGAGAAAATGAACTGTTGTTTTAAACCACCTAGTTTTCATAATTTGTTATGGCAGCTTTATTCACATACACATAGTTAAAGCATTCCCTCCTGTCACCTAATACTTTCTGTGGTTGTAGTATTCCTAGTCTATATCTTTGAAACTCTCTCCCTTTAATTTTAAGGCTTTCTTTTCTTTCTTTCTTTCCCTTGGGTAAGTCAGGGAGATCGAGTGGAGCTGGAGCAGGCCAAGATGCCTTCCCCTATTTGGGAAGGGATTTCAGTATTGTCCTCTGCTATTTTTATCTTTGTAGGCTAATCTTAAAAGTTGGCTAGAGGTCCTCTCAACTTCACAAAAAGTATTTTTCACACCACACAAAAGATATTTATCATTGGATAATAATGTGAATTGTACACTTAAAATGGTTAAGATAGGCCAGGCGCGGTGGCTCAAGCCTGTAATCCCAACACTTTGGGAGGCCGAGGCAGGTGGATCACGAGGTCAAGAGATCGAGACCATCCTGGTCAACATGGTGAAACCCCGTCTCTACTAAAAATACAAAAAATAGCTGGGCGTGATGGCACGTGCCTGTAAGTCCCAGCTGCTCGGGAGGCAGGAGAATTGCCTGAACCCAGGTTGTGGTGAGTCGAGATGGCGCCATTGCACTCCAGCCTGGGTAACAAGAGCGAAACTCCGTCTCAAAAAAAAAAAAATGGTTAAGATAGTAAATTTTACACTGTGTGTTTTCTTACCACAATTTTATCATTCCAATTTTTGATATATGTGCTGCAAAAGCAAATAATTCTTACCACAATTTTTTAAAGTATCTGTCTTCACAATCTCTTACCAAAATGATCTTCATGTTGCTGCCAAGCACAAGTCAGAAACTTAGAGGCTGTATGGTGCCAACGAACAGCTAAAGGAAGTAAGCTTTTGAAGGTGGGCTGGGGAAGGGCCTGACATATGACTCCTCCTTTCAGCAAGTCGTGAAGTCTGCTTTGTAGGTGGGACAATCTATGGTACCACATCCTAGAATATTGGATAATAACAAGTTAGTAGTAATATAAAACAACTTTTATGAGGCTATAGGAAAAACTACAGATATAATTATGTAAAATGTTAGATTTAATGATCTCAACTATTGAGGATTAAACAAAGGAGAAATTCTGAAAAGCTAAGCATAAGTGATCTATAACCATTATTAACATTTCTCATTAGCCACTCTTTTTTAAATTGCATTTTAGGTTTTGGGGTACATGTGCAGAACATGCAAGATAGTTGCATAGGTACACACATGGCACTGTGTTTTGCTGCCTTCCTCCCCTTCACCCACATTTGGCATTTCTCCCCAGGCTATCCCTCCCCAGCTCCCCCCACCCGCTGTCCCTCCCCTATTCCCCCCAATAGACCCCAGTGTGTAGTACTCCCTTCCCTGTGTCCATGTGTTCTCATTGTTCATCACCCGCCTGTGAGTGAGAATATCCAAAGTACTATAAATTGTTCTAGCCACTCTTATTTCATGTTATAGAATTCTTCTTTTGCCCTATTACCTAACTAAAGCAGTGCTTTAAACAATTCAGTAATCGTAACATTCCAAGCACATGCAGTTATCTGCATAATGACATTGCCATCAATAACAGATCACATATATGATGGTGGTCCCATGAGATTATAATGGAGATGAAAAATTCCTGTCAGCTAGTAACATGGTAACATAGCACAGTGCTTTGTCTTTTCTGTGTTTAGATGTGTTTACATACACAAATGCTCAGCATTATATTACAATCGCCTACAGCATTCAGTACAGTCACATGCTATGCAGATTTGTAGCCTAGGAGCAACAGGCTATCTATATCACATAGCATAGACGTGTAGTAAGCTATGCCATTTGGGTTTGTTCACACTTTAGGATGTTCACACAACCATGAAATTCCTGAATGAGGCATTTCTCAGAATGTATCCCTGTCATTATCCTGTCAACTGACCCATAATTGTAAAAGGTTTATTTTATATGTCTCATCCTTCTAGATCTCTCTGCTTGTGACAATATCGATCACCCTTATTCTGACTACTTGAAAGTTTTTTCTCTGCTGGTTATGTGTGCTGTGGGCAAATTAAACCCTCAGTGACTCCATTTCCTCCTCTGTAAAATGAGGGTACTAACACTATTTATCTCATGGCTTTAGTGTGAGGACTGAAATATTTAGAATTATGTGTTCCACACTAAGCCTTACATATGTATCAGCTGCTATTATTTCATTATTATGGCCATTGTTAGGAATAAACTGTATCTGTTGGGAAAATGCCTTGATAAACCTGCTTGGAGTTGGTGATGCTGAGTAGCATAGTTTTAGAAAAATTAATAAAACAACCCCATTTGCATAAGGTCTTAAAAGGAATTTATTTGTCCTGTGGCAGAAGACTGAGAGAGCTATCTGATTGCAGATAGGCTCTGTGGTTCTTGATGTGAACCTTCGCAATTACACCCTCAAATATGCAGTAATGTAACCAAACCCACAAAATGCTTATCATGAGTGGACTGATGAGTGCATGTGCATGTGTGTACATGCACATATGTGGGTATGTGAGGGGTACACTGATGAAAGGACTGAACTAAATGCTGATATAGGGTGAAACCAATCATATACACTAACGCCATAGCTAGAGATATAATAGAATTTACTAATCACTAGGGAGCAGTCTGTAATTACAGGATAGAGAATGCAAAGCTAAAGTCAAATTTATTGAGATTTTGTGGCTGAGGACAAGAAAGAGAACACAGAAAGTCCTCTGCTGATATGTCAGTTACATCTATTTCTTCATTGTCTCTTGTTTCCAACCTCTTACGTATAGGTACTGTCTGAAACAGGGGTTGGCAATCTGTAACCCACAAGCTAAAAATGGAATTTACAATTTTTAAAGAGTTGTAAAGAAAAACAAAGATGAATATGAGATCGAGACTCCAGAAATTTCTCCCTTGTAGTCTATGAAGTCTATACTATATGCTTATCTGGATCTTCAAAGAAAAAAAAATCCAACTTCTAGTAAAATATTCAATTCTTAATCAAATACTCTTCTCCCACTACATCACACAACCTCTTTTTTTTTTTGAGATGGAGTTTCGCTCTTGTTACCCAGGCTGGAGTGCAATGGCACGATCTCGGCTCACCGCAACCTCCGCTTCCTGGGTTCAGGCAATTCTCCTGCCTCAGCCTCCCGAGTAGCTGGGATTACAGGCACGCACCACCGTGCCCAGCTAATTTTTTGTATTTTTAGTAGAGACGGGGTTTCACCATGTTGACCAGGATGGTCTCGATCTCTTGACCTCGTGATCCACCCGCCTCGGCCTCCCAAAGTGCTGGGATTACAGGCTTGAGCCTCCGCACCCGGCCCAAAATATTCAATTCTTAATCAAATACTCTTCTCCCACTACATCGCACAACCTCTTAATCAAGAATATTCACTCACTTCATTATTTAACAAAATAAATATTACTAAGCAGGTTTATAATAGGTACTTTCTTAAGTACTAACATACAAACATAAATAAGCCAGCAATCATAGCCACCATTCAAGAGGTTCACAATCTAGCAGGGAAGAAAGACAAGTACAGGGTGATAACTACTACTATTTATAATAATTTTAAGCATACAACACAGTGAAAGGTGTAAAAGAGCAAGAAGTTAACTATGCCCGAGGAAAGTGGTGGATCTCCATATGATTAGTGTTCTTTGAAGGTTTTGTTGTTTTACATTTACCTAAAAATAAAACTCGCTCATTGTAAAAAAAAAAAAAAAAAGATAAGGGGATTGTTGGGGGTTTGGAAAGAATCCATATGACCCTGAAATATAAAAAATAAAAGAAAAAGTAGGCCAGGCGCGGTGGCTCAGGCCTATAATCCCAGCACTTTGGAAGGCCCAGGCGGGTGATCACAAGGTCAAGAGATTGAGACCATCCTGGTCAACATGGTGAAACCCCGTCTCTACTAAAAATACAAAAATTAGCTGGGCATGGTGATGCATGCCTGTAGTCCCAGCTACTCAGGAGGCCGAGGCAGGAGAATTGCTTGAACCCAGAAGGCAGAGGTTGCGGTGAGCCGAGATCGTACCATTGCACTCCAGTCTGGGTGACAACGGCAAAACTCCAACTCAAAAAAAAAAAAAAGCCTCTTTTTTTTCATTATTTAAAATAATGAAAGAAATGTTCCCATTCTTTCAAGGAAACTGTTGACGAGGTTTGGCATATTCAATGACACATGCAATTAAAATCTCCACACCTGCTATATACACATACAAAAATACATATGTGTTTAGTATTTAAACCATAAAGAATGGTAGAAAACAAAGTCTCTCTTCCCCCATTTTCCCTAATTTCACGACTCACATGTTACCAGTTTTAATTTTTAAAAAGCCCAAGTTAAACTGAATATCCATATGCAGAAGAATGAGAACCCTATCTCTCACCATAAACAAAAAAAATCAAATCTAAGTGAATTAAAGACCTAAATATAAGACCTCAAACTATGAAACTACTACGAGAAAACACTGGGGAAGCATATCAGGACGTTGGTCTGGGCACAGATTTCTTGAGTAAGACTTCAAAAGCACAGGCAAGCTAAGCAAAAATGGACAAATGGGATCACATCAAGTTAAAAAGCTACTGTACATCAAAGGATACAACAAACAAAGCGAAGGGACAACCCAGAGAATTGGAGAAAATATTTGCAAACCACTCATCTGACAAGGGATTAATAATCAAGCAATTTGCAAACTGGGAGCAAGTATCTGAAATTCATACAACTGACAAAGTCGTAACATCAAAAATATTTAAAGTCATTCTATAGGCTGGGCTCAGTGGCTCAAGCCTGTAATCGCAGCACTTTAGGAGGCCTAGGTGGGTGGATCACAAGGTCAGTTCAAGACCAGCCTTACCAACATGGTGAAACCCCATCTCTACTAAAAAATACAAAAAGTATCTGCACGTGGTGGCATGCACTTGTAATCTCAGCTACTTAGGAGGCTAAGGCAGGAGAATTGTTTGAACCCAGGAGGCAGAGGTTGCAGTGAGCCAAGATCACACCAATGTAATTCCAGCCTGGGTGACAGACTAAGACTGTCTCAAAAAAAAAGAAAAAAAAAAGACACCCTACACATCAATAGGAAAAGCAAACCGTATGTGAGCAAATAGTATGAACAGACATTTCTAAGAGAAAACACTATGGTCAAAATGGTCAATAAATTCATGAAGAGATGTTCAACATCATTAATGATTAGGGAATTTTAATCTAGCCACAGTGAGATATGATATAACCATTTGATTGGCAAAAATTAAAAATTGTGACAATAGCAAGTATAGAGGTTTTGCACATCTTTCATTGAATTCATTCCTAAGTATTTCTTTTTTTTTTTGAGACGGAGTTTCACTGTTGTTACCCAGGCTGGAGTGCAATGGCGTAATCTCGGCTCACCACAAACTCTGCCTCCTGGGTTCAAGCAATTCTCCTGCCTCAGCCTCCTGAGTAGCTGGGACTACAGGTGCGCACCACCATGCCCAGCTAGTTTTTGTATTTTTTTAGTTGAGACGGGGTTTCACCTTGTTGACCAGGATGGTCTCGATCTCTTGAACTCGTGATCCACCCACCTCGCCCTCCCAAAATGCTGGGATTACAGGCATGAACCACCACACCCGGCCTCCCTAAGTCATTTCTCGTGTTATTACAAGCAGCATTTTAAAATTTCAATTTGCAATTGCAAACAGTGTATACAATACAACTTATTTTTATATTCTGACTGGGAATGCTGTAATCATATTAAAATCAGTTACTATTTCCAGTAACTGTTTTGGAAATTTCCTAGGATTTTCTACATAAGAAATGTCATATATGAATACAGTTCTACATCTTCTTTTGCAAACTTTGTATCTTTTGTTTGTTTTTTGCTTCACTGAACTCACTAGTTAGGACCTCAAGTACAATACTAAATAGGAGAAGTGAGCACGGACATCCTTGCCTTGTTCCTGATCTTAGGGGAA